GGTCAAGTGCCAGGTCATAGCATTTGTAGACAAAGCCATGCGAACGATTTACCTTGCAAATCGCTCGCAGTTGGGACGAACAGAGATCAAAATGAACCCCAAAAACGTCCCATCCGTGTAGAGAAGTGGTGTATGAGAGCCACAAAAGGTATTTTGATCACACTGACATAAAATGTGGCAGTCAGTCAGGTTTTTTCGACACTGATTAAGGATATTGGACCGGTCTATTTCACTAGAAAAATGCCTTACTGTCAAGGGAGATTACAGAGAATGCAACAAGGTCACTGCTTCTATAAGTGTAATTCTAATAAAATCATTCATTTTACATAACAAAATACTTAAAACCTGTCTAGCCTGCTGTCTTGATAATGATCATGGATAGGCTAGTGTATAGCTAAGATTAAGAATGAAAAAACATATTTTGAAATAAAGGTTGAAAACTTAAAAAGGTGCAGAAATATTAAGAAGAAATGCTTAAATAATTTGAACTAGCTCAGAATTGGCAGGGAAAAGCCCATATGGACAAAATATAATTTTGCATCTACAATGTATAAGCTTACAATAGATATATGAATTCAAAATGGGTTTTGTCTGTCTGCAATTGCGAATGAACCAGATGCCCCCCCCCCCCCCCATCAATATGGGGCTCACCTACGACATAGTTTACATGTAATCATCGATAAAAGTGCCAAACACACTTTCAATGTTGGAATCTTGCTTCTGATTAATAAATATTCTGATTTTTTTAAACAATTATAATAGATACTGTACATGTGGTCGATCAAATCCAAAACTAATTACCTTTGATTTGAAAAATATTTTTGATCACCTAAGATAAATAAAATACAATTTAATGGAGGATTTACACTAAGAGTAAGACACTAACTCATTTAGTAGTTAGAATAAGTCTACCGGTATTTGCTTCACTGGACTTATCAAAACAGCAAAAGTGTTATTTGTGCTTTAAATAAAATAATAAAAATGCTGTTTTTATTTCGCACTGGACTAAATTGTCCCTCTTTTGTATGGCCCCCGCTCGAACATACTTGGATTTTTTCTTGCAAATTATACAGATCTCTGATAAAACTGACTTCTTTAACTCTGATGAAGTAGTAACAAGTACTGCACCATGATGTGATTCCTTTGGTGATATTAATGAAGGAGTAGGGGTGAATGAGACACACTTTTAGTTTTTAAATTTGTTGAAGTACTAGGCCTAGTAGTAGGGGTTATGGACATAAAGGCCCTAAACCAAAATGGCTCAAGTATTTGGTCATAACGGTCAAACATTTTGGTCAAAACTACATAACGGTCAAAACATTAGGGTCATAATGGCCAAAAAGAACATTTGAATTTTGATATGTATCAAATGATATTTATTAATATAAATATTGCATAATATAAATACCAATATTTCTTAATAGATAATATTTTCATATATATTTCTTTAATACATAAATTTAAAAACACTGTAGACATTTAATACTTAATACACTGTATAACTATAACATACATAATTTACAAAGACATCTATTTAATATGGAGGGTGGGTGGCAAATGGTTTAACATGTACACATGAAATCATAAGGTCTGTCATTGCGTCAATGACTTAATTTCAATTCTCTGCTTGTACGTGACAAGGACTAGGGTCACTTGTTCAACCTTGTGAGTTTTCTCCGAGTCGCCCAGTTTCCTTCCCCCGCTACAGACCCTTACATGCAAGCAAATTATTTAAATAAAAAGGAACCGTGTCGACTGGACATTAATGTTCAGCTCATATTACTTTATCAGTGGGGTGTGAAAGACTTAATTAGGGATTATCAAAAGCTTTGATTAATTAGTATTCCCCTCTTTCCTTTGAATCACAGCATGCAATGTTCTGGGTTGACTTGGATGGTTATATTCAATTCTTTCATTCACAAATTTTTCTGGACTTATGGTCTGTAGCCTATATATGATGCACCTTTATTTATTACTTCTACTAGTTGGAATAGAAGTGGTCATATCTTGTTGAAGGTTTGGTGAAACCGTGTTTAAAATATTATGTTATGAGTGAATTGCTATTTTTGTCGAATGATTAATATACTAATAGTAAGTTGTTAAATAATGTTTGGTAAAATATATTATGACCACATCACAGTAATACTAATACTAATAGTCTGTATGTATGTCGTGACAGTTTAGTTTCGGTTGGACTGAATGTAGACGCTGCCTTATCACTGAGTCACTCTCTTTCTTTCTCGCATCATTTAACTGTTTTGTTCTTAAAACATCTATAAAACGTTGGATGAAATCCAAAACCACTGCCGACTGTATCTTCAATATAATATCCTTCGTAATAAAATATCCATTTGTATCGAAAAATGCTGCAATGGATTGGTCATTTCCATCCAATTGAAACCAGTCTATAGCTACCTTACGACATTTATCTCACCTTGTGTTTGTAAAGGGTTCTGCACTTCCCTTATTAACACTGTCTAAGTGAACAATACAAGTTAATTGAGCCTTTGTCGCCATTTCGTGTAGCTTCTACATGTATAACTGCAATGTGTTACTCGTGAAGCACGGCATTTTGTGTTTACCAACAACACACGCGAATGTAGACAATAATGTGATTGGTCGATTGTGGAAAAAACGTGACGCGCGAACAACGCTGAATTCTGTCCAGTGACCTCGCGCACTATGAATTTTACTATCAATAAATAGTCCGGATTTCAACGAAGAATATCACCAAAGAACTATGGAATTTTTTGGAGAACATTAGAACAAACGAATATCTCTATATGAACTATACACTGACAAAATTTCTTCTAGACCGGATTTGTAGGAACGAAAATATTTTTGCAACGACAATTTGTGCCCATGGAATGCGGCCTACATTCCAAATCACTGAAGATCCAAGAATATATCACTATGTAATAACACAATCCAAAATTCAAAATAATGAATCACAATATCTCAAAGCATGCAATATCACAAATCACATTATCAAAAAATGCATTTTCCACTCACAACACCAACGTAACTCAAAATAACTTGAAATATAACACCAATATTTGAAATACCCACAATATTTGAAACTAGACGCAAAATCACTGCAAATGAAATTAATGTAAAAAATGAAATAAGATGTGTTCACCCAAAATCCAAGAATATCCAAAATAACACTTGTAAATCAAGATGAACACTGAATCGGTGTATGTCTCTAATTTCACATATAATTAAACACACTGCATCTGTGTGGATGTCTCTAAAGTTTATGTGCACAAATCTGGATACAACAATCTGGATACAATCTGGTAGCTACCATATGCACACTTAAACATTTACTGCATACGTTGAGAATCGTAACACCAAGAAAATACCATAAACCATAGATGAATTTTACTTGTTGTACCATAAAAACCATTTACATTGAAATAATACCATATATACGTTGAAAAACCATTGATGTTGTGATGATCCTCAGTCCCTTATCGGGCTCCAAAAATGTAACCAAGTCTAATTCAATCAAAAGACGAGGCTGTTTAAATCTTTATTTAAAAAACCTGTAAAAAATATACATACATAGAATTAATATCAATGACATTTAATTTATAATACATATAATACACTTTAAAATATCTCAAACATTACACTGTATTATATTATTATACTATATATTTAATTCTATACTCATATCTTTACAGTAATAATTTCAATCATATCTCTAATTATTAGATAAAGGGGTTTTAAAGATCTCTGTGTTGAAACAACACTACCATATGCTTATAACATTAACAGCTATAAGATTTCCTGTATAAACAAATGATTATATGATTCTTTATGTTAAAACTAAACCTAAACTTAATTAATTAATAAATGATAATACTTATTGCTTAAGAGCTGTAGAATATGTATAAATATATTTTACTGTGTATGTAAAGAATAATATATGAAATAAGTAATTTACACATTCACCACATCCCCAGACAATACCAATGATATTCAAATACACATACCTTAATTTGCCCAATGGAGACTCGGCCAAAAGTAATTGCAGAAACTGGAACACCTTATTAACTTTGATGCACAAAATACAAGTTTAAGATTTAGAAGCTAATATCTTATACATCTGATACATTCAAAATCCTAAGTTAGAATGAAATTGATTGTTACCTGTGTAACCCAGGAAGTTAGGTTTGTTATAAAAAGTATCCAAGGAGATGATGAGGTGATAGTCACTGATGTTGTTACAAAGACCTGTCCAGAAGCTGAACATCCAGTGACTAACAGATGAAAGTGAAAGTTTGTTATTGTTTATTAAGCTGCTGTCAGTGTAGTGGAGTGTAGACTAAAACCTATTATATAATTAAAACACCAAAATTCCACACTATCACATTATGACCCTTGTTTCAAACGACAGAAGTTGTCATCTCATCTGTATGAAATTGATATCAGTGTCTTGTAAATGCTCCCATTACCAACAAAAGAATAAATATGCGACAACCCTTGCCGACGGCTCAGACGATTTAGTTTCTGTGGACGTATGTATCATTGCCTGGCAACCTATCTTTTTTTTTACTGTGAGTAGATGATTTATACATACATTTTGGAAGATTAAATAAAGAGCTGGCAGTTCTCACTATAATAGTTAAAAACTAGATAATGTAAAGGGAATCTGCTGAAAAATTCAGTCAAATTGACCACTCTGAACCAAGAATTTAGTGATTGAATTTTAGGCCTAGCCTCGATCATCATTACTAAAGTTGGTACGATAAAAAAAAATAGTCTTGATTATCCATTTCATGATTAAATCATGAATGAAAGTTGAGCAGCAGATCGCGATCTAATCCAGTAAATATCGCAGGCTAGCGATGACATCGAGAGTTGATTATGGTCTGGACAAGTTAATTAATGTCTAATTAATAATTTAGATAACATTTCAGGCGTAAAGAAAGACCTGCAATTTGCAGATTTAGCTCTTGCATAATGCATGTTTCATTTTTTTTTCATTTCAGATAAATCATTTTCATCGTTCCTCTAAACTTGATAAAGATTCAGGTATTGGTGAAAGTAGCCCATGTGGTGTGGGTGTTAGTATGGCTTTTGAAAAAATTGTTGCTGCTGTCATGGAAAATTTGGAAGAGGTAATTTTTAGTGAAATGCAAATTAAAATCACTATTTTGTTTCCATTTATTGTTCAAGCTTTTCATAGAGCAGTAGACTATTAAGATGCGTTTGTTTGTCTGTTCATCACACTTTGTGGGAAAAATAACTCTGCCTTTTGTAGAATGTTTAAATTCACGGTAGATGTTCATTATGTTCAATTGTTAGCATTTTTTACAAAGGATAAGCTGAGAGAAGTAATTTGATTGGTTGATGCTTTGGGACATGATGACTTTGATTCTAATCAAATGAGAGTGATGATACCTGATGTATAGTTTAATGACATCTGTGACTAAGTTCATTCTTTACAAAAAGATAAATGTGCAGTTAATTAATATGTGTAATCTATTTTGAGATCAAGGCAGGGGACATTAACCTCACTGTTGGCTTTGGGTTTCATTTTTGTATGCTTACACTGCATGTCTTCTGTTCTATTGAGCTGAACCATGACTCTTAAGATAGGCCTATTCCTGAGGTTTAAGCCTTAACGCTGTTGATGATGTGTCCACTTGTTTGATAAACGAAATGTAATTCAGAGTCAATCAATTGTAAATCTTTTTAGAGCCTGATCTTTTTTTTTTAAAAAAAAGAAATTTATTCATAAAGTATAATATTTTGTGTTTTATAGAATCCATGTTCTCATGATATAGTTGTCTGCTCTGTTGGTCATAATCCTATGTGGAAAGAAAGATTGAATATAGTAAAAGATCTGTGGTCTGCTGGATTAAGAGCTGAAGTATTGTATGATTCTATACAGGTTAGGCCATTTAATAAAAAAATAATTTTGAGTGTTCAAATTTTCCACATTAAAAGGATGTAAGTAGTAGTTATTAGCACACTTTCCGAGGTGTATCGGTGAATATCAGGACAGTTTTGGTCGAGGGGCCCAGCCGAGGCGGAGCGAAACTAGTAGCTGAGAGAAATCTGGAAAGGCTGTTCACCTATTTACAGATTTTTTACCTCAAGATAGTTTAATGAGTTTATGATTTATTAGGAAGCAAAGACAACAGACATTGAAAAATATTCAACTAAAACTTCAAGATTTAGATGGGAACTTTTTGTTCGACTTTACGACTTCTAATAATCTGCGATTTCTTAATACAGTAAACTTCGCATAAGTCGGATTCGTATAAGTTGGATCTTCGCTCAGCTCGGATAAAATCGTTTGGACCCTTTGATCCTGCACGTTTTTCTTATGAAATTTCTGCGCATAAGTCGGATTTCCTAAGTCGGAACTTCGCTCAACTCGGATCAAAATGTTCGGTCCATTTGATCTAATTCCGCCCTTTTTCATTCGTTTAAGTCGGATTGGCAGTATGTTCAGAATTTGACTAAATCATTTCCGTCCGGATGGTCTAAAACAAGGTTAGGTATTCCATGCACAGAGCCCCAAAATACTTTCCCCTATCATTTTGACTCAAATCAGCCTATTTGACGCTACACAAAATAGAATTTTCCCGGAAAATTTGAAACTTGCTGTCTGCTCTACGAGACACTTTCCGGGAAAATTTAGGACGAAAGTTCTCTACTCGCACATACAAATAAAAACTTGAAATGAGCCTTTGAATCAAAGATCAGAAGCAATGTCATTCATAAATCAAGTCTGTTTCTCTAAACTACATGTAGTCGTAAGTTAACATGTGATTATGTAAGAAGGAATATTCCTTTACGGTACTTTATACTTACCTGTGCTATGACACACATGTAAACTTACAAATCGTGTTGCATTTGCAGAATGTTTGAGAAACAGAATTAAAAGTTGTAGATTAAGTTTAGCTCTAAAAATAAGAATCTTTGAAAAAAGGTAATGTAGGCTAATACTCAAATAGACTTTCATCGTGAGACAAGATTCACGCATATTACTGTATAGGTTTTGGCCAAGCTGCTGCTTGCATAGACTTATTCAAACAAAACATAGATTTCACATATAACTAACACTTTTATTAATATGACCTTGACCTCACTTCACCAGTTCATAAGTCAAAAAGTGCATTTTTTGGGGGAAACCACCAGTCTAGTAACCAACCTATCTCCTCCTGACATTTTGGTCATATGTTCATCAAGCCATGACACTTTATGCCATATTTTTATACGCCCACATTTTCATGTGGATGTATATTGTCGTCGCCCCTGTCTGTCCGTCCGTCCGTCCACAATTGTTTTTGAACAGTCTACAGGTCACAATTTTTATATGATTTCAATGAAACTTGAAATATAGGTTTATCACCCTAAAATCTCGGTTCCTTTCGATATTAGCATGTATCTGACTGGAACTTCATGGATGATGGCCCCTGATTGTACGAAAAATCACGTTTTTAGATTGTGAACACTGTAGAGGTCACAATTTTTATCTGATTTAGTTTAAACTTGAAATGTATGATTATAACCCAAAGATCTCGGTTCCTTTTGATATTCGCGCATATCGGAAAGTAACTTCCTGAATTACGGCCCCTGATTGTACAAAAAATTGCGTTTTTAGCTTGTGGACCCTATAGAGGTCATAATTTTTATCCGATTTAAAAAAACGTATTATAATATCACCGTTAAACCCTAAGGTGGGCTAAGTTCGAATTTCGTGAAAATCGGCCCAAACCTGACAGACAAAATATCCGATTTAAAAAAATGTATTACTATATCACCGTTACACCCTAAGGACACCTGAGTTCCAATTTCGTGAAAATCTGCCCAAAACTGACAGACAAAATGGCCGCCCCTCGTTCTCAAAATGCGTAAATAATGGTATATCAAGGTTTTGGACCCTATAGAGGTCACAATTTTTATCCGATTTTGTTGAAAAGATCGTGGTTCCTTTCGGAAAGTAACTTCCTGAATTATGGCCCCTGATTGTACTAAAAAATCGCGATTTTAGCCTGTGGAGCCCATAGAGGTCATAATTTGTATCCGATTTAAAAAAACGTATTAGTATATCACCGTTAGACCCTAAGGATGACTGAGTTCGAATTTCGTGAAAATCGGCCCAAAACTGACAGACAAAATGGCCGACCTTCGTTCTCAAATAGCGTAAAAATATGGTATATCAAGGTTGTGGACCCTATAGAGGTCACAATTTTTATCCGATTTTGTTGAAACTTGAAATGTAAGTTTATAACCCAAAGATCTCGGTTCCTTTCGATATTCGAGCATATCGGACCGTTACTTCCTGAATTATGGCCCCTGATTGTACGAAAAATCACTTTCTTTTTAGCTTGTTCTCTATCCATCTCTCGAAAATGTGGGCGTTTCCTGCCTGGCAGGCACTGGTTGAATTTTCAAATGGCACCCTTTCGTAAAGATCTCGGTTTCTTTTGATATTCGCGCATATCGGACCGTAACTTCCTGAATTATGGCCCCTGATTGTACGAAAAACCTCATTTTTAGCTTGTGGACCCTATAGAGGTCATAATTTTTATCTGATTTAAAAAAACTATTATTAATATTATATCACCGTTAAACCCTAAGGACGGCTGAGTTCGAATTTCGTGAAAATCGGCCCAAAACTGACAGACAAAATGGCCGACCTTCGTTCTCAAATAGCGTAAAAATATGGTATATCAAGGTTGTGGACCCTATAGAGGTCACAATTTTTATCCGATTTTGTTGAAACTTGAAATGTAAGTTTATAACCCAAAGATCTCGGTTCCTTTCGATATTCGAGCATATCGGACCGTTACTTCCTGAATTATGGCCCCTGATTGTACGAAAAATCACTTTCTTTTTAGCTTGTTCTCTATCCATCTCTCGAAAATGTGGGCGTTTCCTGCCTGGCAGGCACTGGTTGAATTTTCAAATGGCACCCTTTCGTACTTAGGTATATTTCGGAGATTCAACAACTATATCTCCTAAGTTGTCCAATGGATTTGAACCAGACTTCATAGGAATACAGTACTAATAGTAGACTTTTGGCTAAATACTATTACAATCAATGTTCCAAAGTGTTGTATGACAACTTTGCAGCTGGTGTAGTACTATCAGACTTCCTTGTTGTGTTTGTTCTCTTCTTGATCGTAATATATAACACTACAGGTTAAATGTTTCCTACAACTTTATTGTTAAGCTGGAATGGCTTCGAAGGTCCCTCGTTCTCAATAAATAATAGATTCTCGGAATACCTGGGTGAGCTCTGACCAGTCTTGCTCAACACGTACCCTTCTTTATAACCACCTAATTTCTGTACGTCTTAGATTGACCTTGACGTTAATTTCCATCCCAAATGTGAAATAAACCTCCCCATTTCTCAAGACCAGGGGGGAGAACATTACCTTATTTGGTCTACCAACCATAGGTCAATAAACAGACAGAATTTGATGGATATTTTGACAATGTTAGGATTTTACCAAAATATCACCGTTTTTTATATATAAATATATCACTCACGTTCATTAAGTACGTGTGATTTGACTCTATAGAAAGAGTGAAGCAACAATTTTTCAAAGACCCAATATTGTTTTAAGGACCAAAGTGCTACACCGGTTAACCATTTCAGCCTTTGAGATTGTATCTTTCTTCTCTTAGCATATGGAAACAGATGGACTATCCCAAATTTTAATGTTATTGATTTGAGATATTAATGTATATTGAATGTCTACTATATATTGTAATCATATGAAATCATGTGTTGATTTTATTGTTTTAAACAGAGTTTAGAAGATGTTCAACTATACTGCCAGAATTTACACATTCCATTTATAGTTTATTTAAAAGATGGTGATGGTGGATTTGTTAGAGTAAATATATTTTAGTATATTTTAGTGATGGTCCGATAATCTGTTTGAACATCGGTAATTGGCTGATAAGTGGCCTATCGGGAGAAATTGGTATCAACCGATACATGGCCATTTTGCCGATACTTGTTCAAAACGACTCAGTAATTTTCTTTTTTAATTGGGTGGCCGAATGGTTGGCACGTGTGCGCTGTATTATAAGTTCTGTTATTGAGTCAACTGGTGTGGTTTCAATTCCTCCCACTGCTAAAGACCCCTACGCAAGCGAATTATTGAAATAAAATTCAACCTTGTGTTAGTCCCGAAATGACTTAGTTTGTGTTGAGTGGACGTTAAACCCCATTTCTCTCTCTCTCTCTTTATTTAATTAGGGGATTAAGAAATCAGTCCAGCGTTAATGAATACACATGCCGGCTGTATAAAGGTAATTAAGGAATAAACATTCCGAATATGCATTCTGTAACTGTGACGTCACTGGCGTCGATTAAGGGTGTTTTCGATAAAAATTTAGAAATAATTTAGTGATCTGTATTGTTATGCTAGGCTACTTAAAAATTTAGACATAATTTGTATCAATAAATAATAACTTATGATACAGATCATACTACCAACAAATGAGTTTCCATTAGATGGTTTTATTTCTATACGCCCACATGGAAATGTGGTTGTATATTGCCGTCGCCCCCGTCCCTCGGTCCGTCCGTCCATTGTCCACAATTTCTTGTGAACACTCTACAGACTACATTTATCAACTGATTGTTTTGAAATTGATATATGTTGTTTGCATTAGTGAGATAAAGAATCCTATTTAATTTCAATAACTTCTGTTAATTTCTTCTGGAGTTATGGCCCTTGTTTCACTTTGTTGCACCTTGTGAACGCTCTAACGACAAAAGTTATCAACCGATCTGTATGAAATTTTTATGCATCATTTAAATTAGTAAAACAAAAAAGCCTATTGAATTTCAGCAATTTCCGTTAATTACATATAGAGTTATGGCCCTTGTTTCACTTTGTTGAATGTTGTGAACACTCTAATGACAACAGTTATCATCCGATCTGTTTAAAATTGATATGCATCATTTAAATTAGTGAAGCGAAGAAGCCTATTGAATTTCAGCAATTTCTGTTTACTACGCCGTGAGTTATGGCCCTTGTTTCACTTTGTTGTACCTTGTAAATGCATTAACGACAAAAGTTATTATCTGATCTGTATGAAATTTATATGTATCATTTAAATTAGTAAAACGAACAAGCTTATTGAGTTTCAGTTATCACCTAAATTAGTGAAATGAAGACGAACAAGCCTATTAAATGTCAGCAATTTCCATTAATTACGTCTAGAGTTATGGCCCTTGATTTACTTTGTTGAACTTTGTGAACTTTCGAACAACAAAAGTTATCATCCGATCTGTATGGAATTTATATGCATTATTTGAATTAGTTAAATGAAAAAAGCCTGTCGAATTTGAACAATTTCTGTAGATAGCTTCCAGAGTTATGGCCCTTGTTTTAGTTTTTAGAAGCTAGTGAACCTTCAATCAACAAAAATTATAATGTCATCTGGATGAAATTGTCTATCAAATTCCCCTAATTACCTACAAAAGAATAAATATGTGACAACCCTTGTCGACTGCTCGGACGATTTAGCTGCTGTGGGCGTATGTTTTGTTGCCTGGCAACCTATCTTTAACTATAGTTCTAGAAATGGCAGGAGAATGTCACGTGATTGCCACTGTTCAGACAGGTCAGGAAGCTATCGCTTTGAAGTTTCATTCATTACCGCATGAACCATTCCGACATCTATTATTGACATACAGGTGCCGATCACTCTAGGGAATTATACCGTAATCAACACTTAAAATATGATAATCTCGACTTTATTCTTTAATGATACAGCAAATAATTAAGTTCATAATAGATGGACTGTATTTGTGACCCAATTTTATTACTTCAAAAACACAGTGTTTGTGTTTGATTCCCGAGGTAAAATAGTACCATGCGTTTCCCGACTAACAATGACATATATCTACATAGATTATCATGCCATTCGAGGCATTTTAATGTGTAATAGTTTTATATCCACCACTATCGTTAATTGTATCTGTATCCGCAATATCTGATATCGGCAAAACCGATAGGTGCAATATCAGACCATCACTAGTATATTTTGTTAAACCAAAACTTCTTAGAATTGTGTGTTTTATGAACTTTGGAATTCAGCACAATGACTTTAAGGGCATTCAGTTAAAATTTGTGCACTTTGTGCATTTTTCTTATTTCATTAGTTCGTTTTACTTTTAAGAGCATTATTGGAGCCATGACGGCTTAAGTGAGTAATGCACTGGCTCACTAACCTGGAGGTCACTGGTTCGATCCAAGTGATGACCAAGAAAGTGCCTCAGGGTTTTCCAGGGTTGTGTTGTTGATGGCCTGGCAGGAACTGTCTAGTCTTTCGGATTGGAAAAGAGGTCATTTGTATCTGTTTGCATACATGTTAAAGAACCCTTGACAGTTGGCATTCAAAACAAGTGTAGGCAAAATTTCCCTCATAGCAAACTTCATGTTGGTGCATAACAGCAGGAGGTTAAACCCCATTCTATTTCAGAGCATTGTCATACATTTCAGAGCTTTATCATACATTTCAGAGCATCATCATACATTTCATCACTCATAAGCTACATTTTTCTTGTACAATGCTTGTTGTTGTTCTTTCCGACATGGTTTCCCCTTGTCAGTGATGCAGGGCGGAGGGGCTGACAAGGACAGCTGTCTAGTCCTTCCGTTGAGACGAAAAATCGAGGTCCCGTGTAAACATTGGAATGCACGTAAAAGATCCCTTGGCAGTTGGAATTCGATATAAGAGTAGGCGATAGTGCCGCTGCCCGGGCAAAATTTCCCTCATAGCACACTGTATGGCGTATGCCCTTCTTCATTAGCCCAGTATAGGAGCAGAACAGTAGGACGTTAAACCCCATTTCATTTGATGTTCAACCATTTAATCTGTATAATTATGTAGTTATATATTTGATTTCTGTCATTAGATACGATGGGTTGAAAGAGAAAAAACTATGGAGAAGAAAGTCAGGATACCTGAAACAGTTACAATGTTACAAGACAAGCTACAAGCAATCACAAAATCGTATGTTATTTATTTTCTTAAAGGATTTCTTTTATTGTTTGATAATAGGGCAACTAAAAGCTGGTATCACAAACAGTTCATGATCAATATGAGCAATGGCTTATTAAGTTTATATTGTCTGAATATATGAATGTTTTGTACATTTATTTTAGTTTCTACCCTACTGAAACCTTGCAAACACTCTACAGATCGAGATTTTGAGATTTTGTTTCCAAACTTGCTAGATTCTTTAGCTAGATCCATATTGAAATTCATGTTTGTGTAGTGATGAGGGGCATATTAGTTGCCTTGGTTATTTAAATTTAACAAAAAATGGCTTAACCCTTTCATTGTGTCTACCCGGTAGTACCAGGTAATATGAAATGTCGGTAAAATGCGCGTAGCCGGTATTACCGGGTACTCAGTACGGTCCACGCTAAAATTAGCACCGTAACTGCAAGTGCCATCTATTGTATTTTCTATACACTAAAATATATTTCCACATGTTTCAAAGCGGCAAACTAGGGCTGCAAAGATTCATCGATGAATCGCAATGTTTTTAAAATCCACGATGCTCGATACAATCAATGGCCGTATCGCGATTCTTTATCCGAATAATAATTTCACAAAAATAGACTGATATTCCTTTTAAATGGTTAAGCAATTCGTGCTGGAAATTAAGTTACGTTCAAATTGCACACTTGAATAATATGCGGAAAAAAACAAGATATTAATATATATAGGCCTATATACGTCCGTAATATGCGATTTGTGATGCGATAATATTACTGTATAAGAATGGCGATTTGTACATACTGCATACATTGATCAGCACATTTTCAATGTATATTAATATTTGATATTAAAATCTTTGTAACGTTATTTCCTTTGCTATTCCGTAATCTATGACTGACCTGACAACGAGAAAGCTTTTCATTGGCTGAAATTGTTGTGGCAATACGAGCCAGCCAGCTGTAATTTTTATACGCCCACATGGAAATGTGGTCGTATATTGCCGTCACCCCCGTCCGTCCATCGTCCACAATTTCTTGTGAACACTCTACAGACTACATTTATCATCTGATTGTTTTGAAATTGATATATGTTGTTTGCATTAGTGAGATGAAGAAGCCTATTTAATTTCAATAACTTCCGTTAATTTCTTCTGGAGTTATGGCCCTTGTTTCACTTTGTTGCACCTTGTGAACGCTCTAACGACAAAGTTATCAACCGATCTGTATGAAATTTATATGCATCATTTAAATTAGTAAAACAAAGAATCCTATTGAATTTCAGCAATTTCCGTTAATTACATCTGGAGTTATGGCCCTTCTTTCACTTTGTTGAATGTTGTGAACGCTCTAATGACAACGGTTATCAACCGATCTGTTTGAAATTGATATACATCATTTTATTAGTGAAACGAAGAAGCCTATTGAATTTCAGCAATTTCCGTTAATTACGCCGTGAGTTATGGCCCTTGTTTCACTTTGTTGTACCTTGTGAATGCTCTAACGACAAAAGTTATTATCTGATCTGTATGAAATTTTTATGTATCGTTTTAATTAGAAAAACGAACAAGCCTATTGAGTTTCAGCAAATTTCTGTTGATTACATCTAGAGTTATATCCCTTGTTTAGCTTTGTTGAATCTTGTGAACGCTTGAACGACAAAAGTTATCACTTAATCTGTATGAAATTCATATGCATCATTTAAATTAGTGAAATGAAGAAGCCTATTGAATGTCAGCAATTTCCGTCAATTACTTCTAGAGTTATGGCCCTTGTTTTACTTTGTTGAACCTTGTGAACCTTCGAAGGACAAAAGTTATCATCCGATCTGTATGAAATTTATATGCATTATTTGAATTAGTAAAACGAAAAAGCCTGTCAAATTTCAACAATTTCTGTAGACTACTTCCAGAGTTACGGCCCTTGTTTTAGTTTTTATACGTCCACATTGAAATGTGGTCGTATATTGTCGTCGCCCCCGTCTGTCCGGCGTCCACAATTGCTTGTGGATGCTCTAGAGGCTAAAGTTAATATCTAATTGACTTTAAATCTATACACAGTGTTTACGGTCTTAAGACGAAGAAGCCTATTGATTTTCAGCAATTTCTGATAATTACTGCCAGAGTTATGGCCCTTGATCACTTTGAAAAATCTTGTGGGCGCCCTAGAGGCCAAAGTTAATATCCAATTGACCTTAAATTTATACACAGTGTTTGAGGTCATGAGACGAAGAAGCCTATTGATTTTCAAGGATTTCCGATAATTACTGCCAGAGTTATGGCCCTTGATCACTTCAAAAAATCTTGTGGACGCTCTAAAGGCCAAAGTTAATATCCGATTGACTTTAAATTTATACACAGTGTTTAAGGTCATGAGACGAAGGAGTCTATTGATTTTCAGCGATTTCCGATAATTACTGCCAGAGTTTTGGCCCTTGATCACTTCAAAAAATCTTGTGGATGCTCTAAAGGCCAAAATTATTATCCGATTGACTTTAAATTTATACATAATGTTTAAGGTCATGAGACGAAGAAACCTATTGATTTTCAACAATTTCCGATAATTACTGCCAGAGTTATGGCCCTTGATCACTTCAAAAAATCTTGTGGATGCTCTAGAGGCTAAAGTTAATATCCGATTGACATTAAATTTATACACAGTGTTTAAGGTCATAAGATGACAAAGCCTGTTGGTTTTCAGCGATTTCTGATAATTACTGCCAGAGTTATGGCCCTTGATCACTCCAAAAAATCTTGTGGACGCTTAGAGGCCAAAGTTAATATCCGATTGACTTTCAATTTATACACAGTGTTTAAGGTCATGAGACGAAGAATCCTATTGATTTTCAGCGATTTTCCGATAATTACTGCCAGAGTTATGGCCCTTGATCGCTTCAAAAAATCTTGTGGATGCTCTAGAGGCTAAAGTTAATATCCGATTGACATTAAATTTATACACAGTGTTTAAGGTCATAAGATGACAAAGCCTGTTGGTTTTCAGCGATTTCTGATAATTACTGCCAGAGTTATGGCCCTTGATCACTTAAAAAAATCTTGTGGACACTCTAGAGGCCAAAATTAATATCCGATTGATTTTCAATTTATACACAGTGTTTAAGGTTATGAGACGAAGAAGCCTATTGATTTTCAGCGATTTCCGATAATTACTGCCAGAGTTATGGCCCTTGATCGCTTCAAAAAATCTTGTGGATGCTCTAGAGGCTAAAGTTAATATCCGATTGAGTTTAAATTTATACACAGTGTTTGAGGTCATGAGACGAAGATTCCTATTGATAATTACTGCCAAAGTTATGGCCCTTGATCACTTTGCAAAATCTTGTGACGCTCTAAAGGCTAAAGTTATCATCCGATTGACTTCAGATTGATACACAGAGTTTAAGATCTTGAGACGAACAAGTATATTGATTTTCAATGAATTTTTATGACTTGAACAGTTAAATCCATGATATTAAAAGCTTTGCATGGACCAGAACTTTATAAAAACCAAACAAATTCTAATAGTTTTCTGATAATTACTTCGTGAGTTATTGCTCTTAATCAGATTTTAGTGTATTATAAATGTTTCATTACCGAAAAAAGTAAAAATATGCGACAACCCTTGTTGACTGCCTGGACGATTTAGCTGCTGTGGGCGTATGTTTCTTTGCCTGGCAACCTATCTTTAGAACCTTGTGAACCCTCAAACAACGAAAATTATAATGTCATCTGTATGAAATTGTCTATTAAATTCCCCTAATTACCTACAAAAGAATAAATATGCGAGAACTCTTGTTGAGTGCTCGGACAATTTAGCTGCTGTGGGCGTATGTTTTGTTGCCTGGCAACCTATCTTTTCATAATGAATTCACCAAATTCTAGTCGCACAATCGATCGACAAAAGCAATATTATATTGAGATCGAAATCCCCATACCAAGTATATAAGTCACAAGCAAAGTATGGGAGTTTTTAGGATTTCTTTTTAAGCATGATGCAAAGTCACTTTGATAAGTGTGTTGAAGGAATCGGCTTAAGTCTAACAGTGCTTCGATCTGGAGAAAGGCCTCTAGGCCTACTAAATCCTGAATCTGATATGATGATATGATATGACAGCAATGAAATCCGGTCAGTTGACCGAGAAAACGCCACATTTAAAGTAGCTAAGTCTCTAACTCAATATCATCCAAAGTCTTCCACATTGAAAACACGAATTGTTGGTCAATTTAAATCAACATTGATGTTGTGATCTTACCAGGAAAAGATGGACTTCTGATAACCGATATTTAAGACAAAAGAACATTTTACCATTGGTACACGAATTGTGTACCATAATGCGTTTCAGCACTATTTGTAACACGGTATTCAAAGAACGAGGGTAGACATATTCCACAAGTCATGTCAAACTGTGACGCTGCCATTTGATTGAGACTTCTGGCATATTTCGCCAAATATAACTGATTTGAAATTAGGGTAAAAAACGGAAACGATTGAATGTAAATCAGTCTATATACATTCATATTATATTATTATATGCGTTGAGTTGGTTGCGGACCATTTGTGTCATTTTCTAGATCCCAAATATTAGCGACGTAGGCCTTCGAGTTTTCACAGTGAAAGAATTCAAAATTTAACAGCATTTTTATACGCCCACATTTTTATGTGGACGGATATTGTCGTCGCGCCCGTCTGTCCGTCCACAATTGTTTGTGAACAGTCTACAGGTCACAATTTTTATCCAATTTCAATGAAACTTGAAATATAGGTTTATCATCCTAAGATCTCGGTTCCTTTCGATATTGGCTTGTATCGGACTGTAACTTCATGGATTATGGCCCCTGATTGTACGAAAAATCACGTTTTTAGCTTGTGAACACTGTAGAGGTCACAATTTTTATCCAATTTGGTTTAAACTTGAAAAGTATGCTTATAACCCAAAGATCTGGGTTCCTTTCGCTATTCGTGCATATGGGAACGTAACTTCCTGAATTATGGCCCCTGATTGTACGAAAAATC